TTTTTATCAAGGAAAATGCCAAAATATTTCACCCCCGTTGCAAATGGAATGACTCCTCCATTGAGGGAAAGTGGCATTAGATCGTCTAATTTTCTCCTCCTGGTGAAGGGGGGTATAACAGTTTTGCTGGGGTTGACAGACATCTGCTCCCTCAGGCACCAACCGTAAACAACGTTCATCGTGCTTTAGAGAATATAACAAGCTATCCTTACCTACGTAGACTTTGGCAAGATGACAAGGTCATCTGCAGAAGCTTGCAGATCTACTTTTGTTCAGTCTAGGGCATCAAGCAGATTATCCATCAGGAGCGACCACAGAAGGGGAGGTAGTATCCCATCTTGAGGACAGCCTCTGGTGACCCTGAACCTAATGGCCTCGTCTTGAAGCGTCGTAGTTGCAGTTCTGTTACGAGCATGGCATAGATCCAGCCAGTTATGGTCGATTCTATACATTTCCTAGCCAGAGATGATCCTATAGATTTAGGCAGTGCATTGTCAAATTCTCCTTCAATATCGAGAAATACAGCAACCGCATTCTCCTTGTTGTCAAGGGATTCGAAAATTTTCTCTACAAGGTTGTTCAATGGTAAATATGTCGATTTGCCGGATTGATAAGCATACTGGTGGTTATTCGGAGAGGATGCATATAATGCCACCCTCCTGATGTGTCCGTCCAGTATCCTCTCAAGTCCTTTCAACAGGAAGGATGTAAGGCTGATTGGTCGTACCGACTCAGGGTGTGGGTGTGCTAAGATATCTCCAGATATATTTTTCAGAGATGAAAAATTCAACACAAATGAAGTATAACTACCTATAACAAGTAACCTATGGGGGTTACATGTAATATTCGGGTCTCCAAACAGAAAAACACAGCATTTTTTAATACAATTCAATAGCCTACATATGAGTGATGGATATTGAAAAAGGATCAATTTGAGCTATTCAAAGCATCAAAATACGAAATATTGTTCCAGGTTTCTCATAATATACCTATGTTATTCTGGCGTCTTGGTTGTATAGTTCAAGTTAACGATATAGTGCAAATTTGGAAAATTATTTTTACGCCTGATGTTAGATTCAATTTTTCCCAAATCAAATCGATGGGATTGAAAACACAAAAAAAGGGGAGTCTCAGTATGGTGTGTCCATACTTTACAGCAATACTCTCAAGGGCATATACTTTTTCAAATGTTTTTGACTGTAAAACTTCAAGTAGTTGATTTTTGGTATAGTAATATTCAAAATTCAAATTGTTAACCAATAATTTACAATTCATCTTTTCTTGAATTTTTATTCGATACTTTGATGAGCTGTCACGAGTGATAGAAAGCGTTGTCAAGAACTATTACACTATTCGCATCCAAATTTGTTTTCAAACCATTTCTCGAAAATATTAGTTTTCATGTTCTTATGATAGTCAACATTGCAGTCCCCAAGTTTTTTTCAACATAATTTCAAAGAATTCGGAACCCATCCTTCACTTCCTCCGCAATGCACAATGATTAGTCACGATCCTTTGTTTGCAGGCATGTTAGGCGTACACATTCTCGAACCATCAGTCCACCCTTTCGTAACTGTGTCGTGAGTATCATACCAAGTTTCATCCAAATAGAAAATTGGCCGTTGTTGTCTATTCTTCTTCTTTCCATAACTGTTTGACGTTTGTTTATTATTTTTAACCTACATCCTAGTTTTTTTATCCAATTCTGAAGAGTTTTGTCACAGCAACTCGCGTTATGGCCGAAAGTATTCAACTTCTTTCTTATGGTTTCAGTTGTAGGAATATCATTGTTTTCGTAACAGTCGTATATTGTTTTTTCAATGATTTTATTAGATGAACATCTAAAATTTTCGTTATGGAAACCAAATTTGAGATGTAGATTCATATTGAAATAATCTCTGTGTTTCAATATTCAAATTCATGCGAATCTTATTCACTGGTATCTCTTTTTCGCATTGTTCACCATCGGTATTGGAATCACTACACTGGAAAATGTCTGCGTTGTTATCACTATTATTACTATCACACTATATTACCAATACTATTAGTACTTGTCCAAGGACGCCACATTTCAAATAGATAACAACATTTTAATCAATTATAACTGCACCGATATCGAATTTCAACAGACAAATCGCGATCAGTTCCTGAACTGAACATGACGGCGATAACCGTCCCCGATTTCTATTCAGCACTGTAACATGACTTCAAATTTAATTAAAAGACTCTTCAGCCAATCATAAAACTGGGTTATTAAAAATTGTCCAATGCGCACCGCTAATTATACACTCCACGTTGGCTAGTTCGCACCGGTTCATTTATATGTATTTCGTGATATCAATATGTCGAGTTATGACATATTTTCTTTCGGAGAAAACTGATATACCCATCACCTCAAGCTGAAATTTTCTACTGGCCTTCAGTAAGCCAGCAAAGCAACTTGTGTTCGTTCACCAAAATGGTAAAAGAGGTAAATGTGCAGTCTACATTTCAATATACCACAATTTATTTAATATACATTAGAAAAGGTCAATATAGATTTCAGTGGTACACCGGCATTCATGGTAATGAAATTTGAGAGAGATGGCTACTTATAAGAGACGATTTTGGAAGAGTTGAGAGGTCTTAAATGAAAACAATCTGGCAAGCTGCAATACAGAAGTATATATAATGAATCCTTATGCCAGATACTATCAAAAGTCTTTGAAATAATAATTATTATAATTATAATAATGATAAGCACAATAGCCCTAACAATCCCAAGCATTACGAATATGCAATTTATTTACAGCTGTATCCTTGACCTTGGAAATAACTGATAGTTAACGAGTTTGAATTTCTTTGGGAGACTTTTCTCGCCCTTTTTGGGTATAGGGTCGAGTGATCTTCCAACAAATGAGAAAACTCATTTCCCTGTGAAAAAGGTGGAAGACCTTATTGGAAAATTATACAGCTTGCAACAATTCTAAAAGTTCGGACTCCGATTGTCGTATATGATTCTAATATCATTCTAAATCAATGAAAAAATAAATAGAATGATAATGAATAACTGAAATATCCTTATATCGAGAAGTGAAATGAAAATATACTAAAACGAATAGAATAATCACAGAGTAAAAAATATTAAAATAATAAAAATATGCAGAAAATTTAACAAAGAAACTAAAGAAGGTTTAAAAAATGTCAAAACAAGTTACTTCACGACGTTTCGATTGTTGATATCCACAATCGTCTTCGGGTAGTGACTGGACTATTTCTCTGAGAGATGACTGTAGATCATTCGAACGCTTTCACCTATCACTTCTTTCCTCTTTCTGTTTCACCGGTTTAGCGGAAGTTCGCCGTTCAGCGGACTTTGATTGTTTTCCGCCTGATTACAGGTTTCCAAATGTTGCGTATCTCTACGATAGCTCAACTGAATGTGTCGTTGGACAACATAACTAGCGTAGAGATACGCAACATATGAAAACCTTTAGGCAAGCGGAAAACTGAAAACCCCAGCTGAACCGGTGAGAGGGAGGAGGAGAAACGTCGAAAAGTAATAGGTCTGAAATATGCTTTAAATTTTCAAATTTGTTTATCTCTTTGTTCAATTTTTGCTTATTTTTATTTTAATCCTTTTAAATTTCTTCCATATTTCGCCATATTTCTTCCATAATTTCTGCCATATTTGATATTTTAGCTAATAATTCTAATTTTATTTGTTGTTTCATAGATTTCGAATCATATGAGAATCATAGTGGACAATGAAAGTCCGAACTTGTAAAATTCACCATGAAATATTGTCAACTACTTTCAAACAAAAGTTGCCACAATTCATTCTTTATTATTTGTTACAATCAAAATTACAGTTGCACAGGACATGCTCATTAGAGCATAATTCAGTTCTTACTTCAGCCAAATTGTTTTTGAATAAACTGAATGCTTCATATTCTCATGCAGAAATGCACAAAGACGTTTCAGTTCAATTACGGCTCCCGAGAAATATTTCTGACATAAAATTCTGTTTGCGAAGCGTAAAAACTCAAAGTAGTCTCCACAATTTAATATCACCCTCAGATGTTAGAACGATAAAACTATCAATCGGTACATGTTTCGAACCTATATAGGTTCATCATCAGCTGATTATTTAAAACTTCTACAATAAAAGAAGAACAACATAACTATAGTTGATACAGTAAAATATTTTATAATGAAGAAAAGAACATTGTCACATGTTACCAATGAATAAATGAAATGTTAATGATATTTTTTTTTATTTAGTAAATGATTGAAGTATGGGAAGCTTAGAGCTCTTATACCCACTAATTAACATATAAACAAAAATTAGTGGCTATAAAAGTTCTAAGACCCCCATATTCCAATCATTTATAGCTAGGATGTTATAAACTTTTTTTACTGAATATAAAAAAAATCATCACTATTAACATGTCATTATGACCATTTATTTATTGGTAACATGTGAAAATTTTCTTGCCTCCATTATAAAATATTTTCTTCTCCTTGTAAGTATTTTGTACTTCATTGTATTAACTATTGTTATGTTGTTCTTCTTTTATTGTAGAATTTTTAAATAATCAGCTGATGATGAACCTATATAGGTTCTAAACATGTACTGATTGATGGTTTTACTGTTCTAGCATCTGAGGGTGATGATAAATTGTGGAGACGACTTTGAGTTTGTATACTTCGCAAATCTACTGCACTCCAATTTAAGATATAATGGACTTCTACTACAGGATAAAATTCTATCATCAGTATCACACATATCATCAAAGCTTTCAATCAATCCTCAACTATAGCAGGATCATGAAACAAAGGAATACCTTGCTTTCCAGGTTTGGTATAATCACCAGCTTTCAGCTTTTGTGAGGCATTAGAAGTCTACCTAGCATTTTGTAGCAGCATTCCCACATCATTCTCACAGTAACCAAGTTCATTTATGTGTAGTTGTTCGAAGTGTTTTTCTACACCAGTATTTAATTTTTTTATAATTTCAGGTTCCGTACACCAACAGAGTTTGGAGAATCGGCCAGCAGTATTCTCAACAAGAGAGGGGAAAGAGCCCGATGATGATTCCTACTTAGGGTATTCTACTGTAGTTGGCCATTTCAAGCAATATGAACAGTATGAAGGAATTGCTGTTGGAATGCCAAGGGGCAATAAACTGAGAGGAAAGGTAAGACTTCGATCTAGCTTATCGAGAAATTTTCAAATAAAAACATATTGTTGTGACACCCCTTCCAATGAATGCTATGAAATCAGTAAAATCAGTCGCATTCCAAGCATAATTTCACAAATGTGCATTAGCTGATGATGTTCTCAAAGAAATAGCTGCGAACGTAAAAATATTTCAAAATTTGAACTCATCAGTTAACTTCCTCCCCGTGACAGAGCCACAAAAAACTGATCTTCGGCTCATATTCCAACAACAACGTCATCAGAAGTTTCAATTTTGCATATAAACTATATAGTTCATCAATAATAGATATGCATTGAAAATTGTACAAAAATTTCATCCTATCCTGTTTATAAGTCCGTCTCTATGCCCTGTTGGTTGGTTACTTGTCAGTTTGACTGATTTATCATATCTGTGAAAAAGTTAACTGAGATTTTTTTGTTTTTATGATAAATTGAATTAAACAGAAATTCATCCAACTTGTCTGTAACATTTCTCAATATAGATTTTTTCTATACAAAGTGACGGATAATTTGATTTCATGATTCAAAGATGTTATAGATCATTCGCAACATATTAAGTCCGATCAACTAATGGTCAAAACTCTTTGCTTGCAAATTTATTGGGGATTTACGATTGAAAAAAATTGTCTGGCTACTGAAAACAATCAAATTATGAAAAAACTAACTCACTGTAAATACTAAATCGATATTTTCCTGACAGCTGAAGATTTTGTAATCATTGAATACCTACATAAAATTGTTGAGGCTTTCGCAGCCAATGCATCACTATTTTCAGGTTTAAAGGTCGTTGATTTCTGTAATTTTCTTCCAGACGTTCCGCTGGCGCGAGTGGCTAACTCCTTCGAAGGGTTAAACTTCCTTGGTTGATTTTCGATGACTGGATAACTGTGCTAATACCTGTACCTGGATTAGGTAAATTGCGTAAAGCATGTTTATGTTGACTCGGGTAGTATGTTGCGATGATATCTGTACTTGAATTAAGACGAAGGTTATTGACAGTTTACCTAATCTAGGTACAGGTATTATCCCACCACACTACCTGAGTTACCATAAACACGCTCCACGGAATTTACCTAATCATGGTATATGTATTATCACATCACAATATCTATGTCAACATAAATACGCTTCACGGAATTTACCTAATTCAGCTACGAGTATTACCACACCATACTACCTAAGTCAACATAAACACGCTTCACGAAATTTACCTAATCCAGGTACAGGTATCATCACACCACATTAGCTAAGTCAACTTGAACACGCTTTGTGGAATTTACCTAAATCATGTTCGGGTATTATCATACCACATTGCCTAAGTCAACACTAACACGCTTTACGGAATTTACCTAATTCAGGTACAGGTATCATCACGATACACTATCCAAGTCATTATAAACAGGATTTACGGAATTTACTTAATTCAGGTACAGGTATCATCACACTACACTACCTAAGTCATTATAAACAGGATTTACGGAATTTACCTAATTCATGTACAGGTATTATCACATCACAACGCCTAAGTCAACATTAACACGCTTTACGGAATTTGCCTAATCCAGGAAAAGGTATTATTTCACCACATTACCTAAGTCAACATTATCACGCTTTATGGAATTGACCTAATACAGGTACAGTTATTATCACACCACACTACCTAAGTCAACATTAACACGCTTTATGGAATTTACCTAATCCAGGTACAGGTGTTATCACATCACACTACCTAAGTCAACATAAATTCGCTTTACGGAATTTATCTAATCGCACTACCTAAATCAACGCTTTACGTAGCCGTAATATTCATTCAGGATGTATAAACCACTCGCGCCAGGAAGACATTCCAAAAATCACAAAAAATAGTGACACTGATTGAAAAATTACTCTCATAATTTATTTATTTATCTGTCCAAACAGGCTGATTAGCCTAACTATATACATGGATATAACACCAAGAAAATATACAATGAATAGTAATACAATGTATTCGTAACCGTAACTATCAATATACAAGAACAGCAGGAACAAACTATACAGAAATATTAATAATTAAGTAATTGGAAAAAACTTTTTGTGAAATTCTCATAAATCCCGCTGATTATGTATGGAAGCTAGGGTACGAATTACGTCACTTACTTTTTTGTTCCTTGAGCTTTATAAATGAGACAAATGATATCAATCACACGAGATTGAGTCCTGAAATCAAGTTGGCCAAGGGATTCAGCCACCGCAACCTGTTCAACGCTGGGGATACTTTTTTCAACCAATACTATGCACAACTATTGGGACCAAAAAGGTCAAAAATTTCGAGAACCTTCCCGCTAAAGATAATATTTTTTAATATGTTTATGTGTAATATGTAATATGTATATGTGTATGTGTAATATGTTCAAATTGAAAATTACTTTACTAGAATGATCCCTTCATACAGAAGGAACTGTGACAAAAAATTAGTTTTAAGTTAGTCCCTTTTTACCCCAAACCCACCCAAAAGGCGAAGTTTAAAATTGCAGTGTGGAACACTACAGGTTTGTTCTACCACTTAACCTCTGACTTCCATTGTCTAATATGATTTCGAAATATGATTTCAGCGATGAGGCCCATTTCTGAATGAATAGGTACGCGAACAAACGAAATTGTCGAATTTGGGACGATGTCAAACCACATGAGATCCAAGAACGTCCATTGCATCCCGAAAAAGTCACTGTTTGGTGTGGATTTTGAGCTGGCGGCGCCATCGATCCATATTTCTTTGAGACCGCCGTTGGCCAGGCCATCACTGTCAACGGCGAGCACTGTAGGTCGATGATTACGAACTTCTTTTGGTCTGAATTAGATGATCTTGACACCAACGACATGTGATTTCAAAAGAACGGCGCTTCATACCACACAGCTTATGTCATATTTGATATTCTGCACCAGTGATTTGAAGGCATGGTCATCTCACGTGGAGAAGATGTGAACTGGCCACCGAGATCGTGCAATTTGACCCCGTTAGACATTTTCTTGTGGGGTTTTCTTAAGTCGCAAGTGTATGCGAATAAGTCATAAACCACAGCGGCCCTCAAAGCCCATGTCATCGGTCAAATTCAGCCTAATTTATTCACCAGAGTCATGGAAAATTGGACGTTTCGGATGCGCTCTATCCAGAGAAGCCGTGGCGGACATTTGAAGATGTTATATTCCACACATAATGGCATCAATATGTTTTCCAAACGATGATATCTAATCTTGGTTGAGTGGTTGAAAAGCGTAACCAAAAATAATATTATGCTATCCAAGATGCATTCATTTGATTGGATATCCATTTCGGCAAAACGTTTTCAGTGGTATATTGATCTAATTGATTCATATGAATAGTAACGTGATGATTTGTTTGAATGTCTAAAACTGCATTTTTCAACGTATCAGTGTCATACCATAATTTTTTTGAAGGTTCTGCTCTTCACGTGGGATTTGAAAAACTTCAAAAATATAACAATCAGCAAACAAATAGGATCATATTTCGGATATGCCCTGGCAGCTGCCGACATTGACGGCGATAAGAACTTAGATCTCATCGTGGGAGCTCCGATGCACACAGAACCCAACACCGAAGGAAAATATGACGTTGGAAGAGTTTACGTCTTCTACCAGACAAACAGTTCCGAAAAAAGTTTCACCTCGCATCACTTCATCGATGGAATGAACTCCAAGGGGAGATTTGGACTGTCGTTAGCCTCACTAGGAGATATGAATCAAGACGGATATGATGGTAATTAGTTTGAATTTATTTATTGACTCTTGTCAACGACAGTTTGAACATCACCTCATATGCTTTTTTTCATTTCCATGTTAGCTACGGAACTTTACTTTGTGTAAATTGCCCCAATACTAAGAAAATATTCTTACTACAAAAGAGAGCTATTAGAATAATTTCAAATGCCGGTTTCAGAGATACCAGCTGACCCCTTTTCATAATGACTGTACGCTGTATCTTTATCTATCAATCTCTATTCGAAATTCATAACCACAAAAACGAATATCTGACCAATTCACATGTTCATGAACGCTACAGGTGCTAATCTCTTAAGACCACGCATGCTGAAGCTACACAGTTTCTCTCGATCAATACACTCAATGTTAAAGATATACCACCTATACAATACGCACTGTTGAAGATATACCTAAATGTAGTTTCAACAGGTTTACCAAAAATGTCCTAACAACACACCGTTTTTTTAGTGTCAACTAGTACCTGGCCACACCAACTCACATGTTTGAATCTGAATCACTTTAATTGTGGCCTATAATTACCATTTTCTTCAAAGTTTAATCATCATATTATTTACATCATGTTTGTATCCATCATATACATTGGCGTCACCACTGGTGATAGTTATCTTCCGATAGTCCGAGTCTCTGCATATGATGATTCAAATGACAGTGACTTGTAAGAAGGCCTGTAGTTCATCCCTACTGTAGTCCAACAACTGTTTGGTATCAAGCTTCGAAGGGTGAATAAACGCCTTGGAGTGAGTAAACGCCTTCTAATCCTGGAAGATTCTGCGAGAAATCCATAAAGCTTCTTGCCATTCAGGTGTTCAATTTTTGTTTGGCAAAGCCTAAAGCGATGCCAACGACACGTTCTGGTCCGATGAAGCTGCTTGCAGCACCTACCTTTGCAAGGGAGTCAGCAGCCTCATTGCCATGGCCAGGAATACAGACCAGAGATAATATGTTAAGTCTTCCTATCGCAATTTGCTACCAATTTAGACGTTACTCGGTAGGAGCCAAGAGCTTCCAACGCCGCTTGACTGTCCGAGAATATTTTTATTGACTAGTATATGAGGTTGGATTCCTTCAATCTCTCCTTCAAATAATTCGGTAGATTGAATTTCCGCTTGAACTATAGTCGCATAGGTTCCTAGGCAAGTAGATATCTCTGTCCTGGGTCTGAGACTGAAAACACCTGCACCGGAACCGGAAGGTGTTTTTGATCCATCTGTGAACCAACAACTATCTGCTCTCAATATTCCCTTCTCCCGGAGAATCCAGTCCTCTCTACTCGGGTCTATTTGAAATAACAAAGTTATCTTGGTCCAAAATTATAAATCAGTGACAATGATCTTTGAACATTTTGTATGATATTGAGAAACGGGTTTTATCGAAATCAGAAATATACATATAATGAAATGAGGAAATTTCCGAAAAAATTATTAGTTTGAATTACAGTCGTAATTCCATGGCTCTGACACGATATTACCAGAGTTATTGACGAATGTCTTCCAACTGTTGTGTATTGTAAAATAATTTGCACGTGTACATTATTTCCTAACGAAAAAATAAACCAAACCATTGTAGAGACAGTGAAATAGATATTTTTGTTGATATCGCGGATATGTATGACACAGAAAGAAGGACCTTTTGGATATTAATCAATCTCAGTATAATAAGTGTATTCTTTACCTTTTTTTTGTTGTTCAGAGACCGTCAAAAATACTTCAACCACACAGATTCATGACATTTTTTCTCCTAAAATTTGATGACACCAATTTCAAAAATACTCTTTTCGTACAGGTTTTTTTTTATGTTCATCATATTCTTTTGAAGATGTTTTGGTTTGTTCATAAATTGTTTGCCCCCTGTAACTACGAGGTACCTCTGTTTTTTTTGTTGCAATGACTGCAGCTATACCCTGTTCACTAATAATAAGAAGTAATGAGTGCTCATTATAAATGCAGAACATAAGCATTGAACAACAAAATGCAAGATCTGTCGAAAACATCACCGCGTCGCTCACAAGAACTTGGCCTTTCGCAGACCACAACTTGGCGGATTTTGAGTCATGACCTGGACCTGCATCCGTATAAATTTCAACTGACCTAGGAACTGAAGGTGAACGACCATATACAACGACGTATGTTCGCCGAATGGGCTCTGTAGCAGAAAATCATCTTCAGCGATGAGGCCCATTTCTGAATGAATGGGTACATGAACAAGCAAAATTGTCGAATTTGGGACGATACCGATCCATATGAAATCCAAGAGCGTCCAATGCATTCCAAAAAAACACCGTTTTGTGTAAATTTTTAGCTGACAACATCATTGGTTCATTTTTCTTTGAGAACGACGTTGGCCAAGCCATCACTGTCATAGGTAGATGATTACCAACTTCTTTTGGCCTGAATTGGATGATCTGGACACCAACGACATGTGGTTTCAATAGGATGCTGCTACATTGCTACATGCCATACAGCTCATATCAGATCGGATATTCTGCGCTAGCAATTTGAGAGCATGATCATATCCGTCAACGTGGAGGTGATGTTACCTGGCCACCAAGATCGTGCAATCTGACCCTGTCAGACTTTTTCTTGTGATTTTTTTCTCAGGCGCAGGTGTATGCGAATAAGTGACAAAACACAGCGCTTCTCAAAGCTAACATAGCCCATGCCATCGTTCAAATTCAGCCTGATTTATGCGCCAGAGTCAGTAAAAATTGAACATTTCGTATGCGCTTCACCCAGCGTGGCGGACATTTGAACGTTGTTATATTCCACACATATGGCATCAATAGGTATTTCAAACGAATAAAAAAATATCGGTGATATGTCACACACATTTTGTTTTATTCAAATTTAAAGATAGGAAGCGCTCAATGAAAGACCCTATGTAACAGTTCTGGTGAAATACACCAAAGTTTTTGTAATTTGAATTCCTTCGAATCCATTTTCAACCTCGTCAGTCATATGACGGTTATCAAAATGATAAATAACAAGCCAACTCCTAAAATGAAGTTTCGTTTGTTTTATTCGTTTTTTTATTCATTCTGTTCATTTCCGGCAACCATGAGATCCAATTTGGCGTTGACATTCATTTTTTTCATTATTATTTGAAGTGACATTTCAAACCAACATAATAGAAAAGTAACTTGTATTTCCATGATCTTTATTTACTATAATACAAAATAACTCTCCCTCTTCTTGAAGATTTTGCAGTTGGTGCCCCATATGATGGTCCTCACGGCCGCGGAGCAGTTTACATCTATTATGGATCAAAAAACGGAATCAGAGAAAAACACGGCCAGGTTATCTTCGCCGAGGAAATTCAAAGTACTATAGGTAGCCTTACTACATTCGGATTTTCATTGACAGGAGGAATGGATTTAGATGGTAATGAGTATCCAGACATGGCTGTGGGAGCTTATCTTTCTGAAACCGCATTCTTTTTCAGGTAAATTCCAATGTAGAATTCAATTTCGATATTAATTAACAATTATTTTCAATTTTGGAGCTTTTATTATGTTTTTCGAGACGTACTTCGGATATTATTGGTATTCTAATATTTTTGTTTCTGTAAGAAAGAGATCAATAATTCTGTTGGTTATTTTTGTTGATATTCCTTCAATCCATAGTATTGTTATTATTAGGCATTCAATCGCTGTGACCAGTATTATGTCTATGGCTTCCTAATAGATAATTATTACGCTCGACCACTTCAGTTGCACTTATTTCACTGGTTAACTTTCGACGAAACGAATTCATTACGAACATTAAAAGTGCTCCTCTTTTGACTTTTGATCAAGACACGATAAGAATGTTACTTGAGAATGTTTCACTTAGTACTCAGTAACTCTTTACAACAAAATCAACAATGTGGGCATCATTCGTCACCGAAAGGGGTCTATAAATATTAGTTTTAATGGAAAGGGGGTCTTGTGGTAGGGGAGACCGGGGTTGAAAGTCACATTTTTTTGTGTTTTTCATTTATAGTGTCCATTTTTATAAATTATAAATTATCAATAGATAGTGTTTTTATACTCATTTGGAAAAAAATTTTGGTTTTTTCATTGAGGAAATATAATAATTCTTATGGAAAAGAAAAAGTGTCACCCTTAACCCCGGGCCGGGGATATGTGTCACAGTATCTGAGGCAGGTATCCAAAAAGAAGAGTGTCTCATTTGTAGAAAAAAACATATCGGCTCCAAATAAATAACTCCTTCTGGTAACTGAAATACCAAAAATATCCATCAGGCCGCAATGCTTGTAAACTAAAAATACCCATCTTAGAGAAATTATATTTAGTCAGTCTAAAATTCAATAAATATTCGAAATCACAATTATGGCAGCTGCCAACCTGATAGCCTGGTATGGCAAATGTAACCTGATGAATGTAACGCTGTTTTTCGAATATTCTTAGGAGACGAACCGAAATAAATACTTAAAGCCATAAGTATGTATCTTTCCGATTTTTTCTTCTATTTGTCGGTGAAGATTTGCCTGTATCTGTGATAACCAATTTTTGTTGATAGTATTGATAACACCGTATTGCTTATCTCTTCGACAGTGAATTTTTTACAAAACCGTGTCAGAGTTCGATAATACTCAATCCCAAAATCACTTCTTTTGCAGCACGCAATATCACTGTGTGTAATACTAGTCGATCAAACTTTCTCATACGATGTAATGAAACTTCTATGATTTTTTCTAAAACAAACAAAATTGTATATAGCAAAAGCTCAAAAAGCCAACAAAAAATGCAGCACACATATATGGTGTTGGTTGTTACATATGACTATCAGCCCCCATCAAGTTGAGACAAACAACCCCAAAAAACATTTCTAAATATAACCCCCTGAAATAATTCTGAATCGATATTCATTCATAAAATGGATGGTGATTTCATGAACCACATATGTCACATCAAAAATACAAGAAATGATATATATCTACGGAAAATTCTAGTATACTTATAAGACTCGACACAAATGCACAAAAATTTACTTTTGCCGTCCGGAAAAAAAACAAATGTACATATCTCCCTCACACAGTATGAGGGTGAACTGAAGTGACGTTAGGATGGATTCTTAGATTTTGTTCGATAAACTCTTTCGTTCGTTCAATTTTCCAATATGGCCTCTGTAACAACCAACCCGTGAGAGAACCATGTCCGGTCTCCCTTACCTCCAAGAATCGGCAAACGAATGGTAAAAATCATAATTTCAATGAAAATTGTTTCAAAACTCACTCCACTTCATTTTATTCAGGTGAATGTTCAGAATGTTCACCAATTATTTTTTATTGTTGATTACCTTCTACAATATGATAAATAAACAAAGCTTAAAGAATTGAGAATCTGCTGTTATGTAATAAAAGGTAAACTGATGAGTTTGCCCCGAAAAGTGTCTGTATATTTCTTTTGATAAACGTCAAAATAATGAAATGTTAAGATTTCCAAGTTGTTTTGTTAGGAATTCTATTTAAGTTCTCATTTTCGTTTTCAACCTCTCGTCTTAACCATGTTAACCAGGTACGTTCCATTTTCACAGAATTGGTTGAAATGCGCTTGTTACCTGCTAAATAATTCTTTTAGTGTTCTTGTGAGGTTATTTCATGATAATTTTTGTATCACTCAAGTCAGTTGCATGGTCACCAGTTGATTTCAAAAATGCTTCGCTATCCCATTTCCGTTGTCTGTCATCTCTAAATATATTCACGATGTTCCTTTTCTCTTACAACTAGAGATCCCGAAGTTTCACCTATATAACTTTCACCTCAGGAATAAGGTTAATTATAAATAAAATATTTCATTTTTTCAAACGTATTTTCGTATTTTATTCGTGTCAAAAGAGATCTAAAGTACTAAAAGTTGTTCTTACATCATAACTATACATAATTTCGTTGCAAACACCTCCGAATTTATCCATAAGTTTTGGAATACTATTGTATAAAGTATACTTCAACACATATCAGGTAATCTAGCGGGTCATTTAGAAGGACCACTTCTGCTTATCCACCGATTAAAATATGCTCCGCTATCCCGATCCCGTTATCTGTATTCTCTTCATATAGTGGCGATGTTAATTTTTCTTACATCTAGAGATCTTGTCATTATGAATACATTGATCTGTTATTTGATGGAAATTATTAACACCATATGATTATAATCATACAATATTCACTGTAAATCTTATTTAAGATCCGTTTCTCCGCACGATAGCTAGTACCAACTGATGAAGTTACTGTGTAGCAAAAAACGTTTCGAATACAATTAATGGTGAAAATTGTATAGCACTTATCATGGATAGAATTGTTGGCATCTAGTCACTCTTGAACTAACCTATCATCTTGCTAAAACAATAGAAATTTCATTTGAATTTGTTAATTATTCAAATGTGTAGAGAGGCAGACGTGTTCGATTAGAATGGCCTGCTAGATCACCTGATATGAGACAATTTTTGAGGAAATACGTGAAATCTAAAGTGTGCACATAACCGCAGTCTTTTCTAGAACTCCTGGATGGAAAAAGAGGTGTTTAGACGAAATTATCCCATAAATATTTCATAAAGTAAAAAATTAATTGACAAACAGACTTCATTATTGTCAGGAAGTGAAAAGTTGAATATTTTAAACATTCATTGGAATAAACTGTAGTGAGTGTTTAGTGTTTTTCAGATTAAAAAAATAATATAAAATCACTAGTAACACAATGCCATACTATTATTGCTTCCAATTCAAAACTATCAAAAATGATCCCTTTCTATTCAAAATGTTTTCGATCTCCATACTTTGTCAAATCTTGATATCTTGTCATATGCCATGTTTACTATTTATCACAGTCGAACGCTCTAGTGGATTTTTAAGAAATTTCTATTGTTTAAATATTCCCCTTGGGCCCATAAACAATATTCCAGGCGTCTTGCTTCGTCGCCTTCTTGAAGTGTGTGTAAAAATTTTGGCTTGAAAGGTTTATTATTCTTCGCCTTGAGACATCTCCGAATAGTTTCTCGTGGAATATTCAAATCTAAAGTGGCATCCCTTATACTGGCATTAGGATTATTTCCGAAATAATCTAAAATGATTTGATCATTCCTGTCATTCCTGTTTCGTCTTTGTACAGGATTACCCTGAAACTTCAATAAACATTTTAAATTTTGTCCCAAGGTAGACCTTTTAGTACTTGACATTTAAAAAAAAAATTATTGAAATCGGTTTACAACTTCAAATTTTAGGGGGTTGTTTCCATTAAAAATGGGTCACACTGTATATACATTTGCCCATTCAACAAATAAAATAAACATTACTATTCCATCCACTGCTTTGGCAGATTTTTTTTTGGCACATTCACTATTTTGCAGAACTTAATGATTTTCACAATTTTAGTATAGTACCTATTTACGAATTACGACAATTCGAAAAATTATACTATGTCATGATTTTTTTTATGTTTTCATGAATTATGTTTTAGATCAAGACCAGTAGTTTTGATAGATGGTTCCGTAAAATTTGAAACACCCAATAAACAAATAGACATCAAAAAGAAGAACTGCAAGCTACCAAATGGACTGGAAGGTACTTGTACCGATATTGAATTCTGTATAAGGTATAGTGGAAAAGGAATTCCCGACCAACTCTGTAGGTTGTTGTTTATGCTTTTGCTATACATGCTATAAATAAATTCATTTCAGATCTCACTGTACAATACATCCTAGATAACAAAAAACCCAGTGCACCAAGGATGGGGTTCCTGACCCGTGGTACCCATACATTCAATGACACGATGCTGTTATATAAAGATAATAGGGACAATTGCAAAACTGAGAGAGTTTATGTTAAAGTAAGATAATAGTTTTCTTATTGATTTTTAAAAAGCTCATTCGTTCGTCTTCGAGATTATAACAATGTTTCACCAAGATCTCTTGTAATCTGTTTGGTAATTCAACTTGAAACACCAAGGCCTCATGTGATATGTTTGGTAACTTAACTTGAAACTGAAGTCTTCCTTCATGCCTCTAGCAGCGTTAAGTGCGACCCTGAGATAGAATCTTCCCCGCACAGTCGATTTGTGCATCAGCTAAAATTCTATACCTCCACCCCCGCTCACTTCGGAACGGTCATCAACCTGCAGCTTTTCACTTCAGCGAGATTGATGTCTTACCTCGTATCGTTGATAGACAGCCCTTGGTAGCTATACTAACTTTATATATATTCTGTACGCTCCGTTTGTTCACTTGATTCTACTGTATGTGGTATTTTCATGGTGGTCCCTGTGTGTATGTGTGAGAGCGCCTTAAGGTTTTTTCTGTAGTGCTTGTGTTTTGTCATTGAAAAAATATATACACAGGAAGCGTTGACGGTCATCCGAAAACAGACGTCCATGAACTTTGGGATCTGGAGTCTGTATGCTTCTGCACACTGTCCCCATTCAGTGAAGACTTACAGGATGATGGGGAGTGGGATTGTCTTGATTATCAGTAGTTTCACTTGGGAGTCCATGTTACTTATGCGTTCAATAATGGAAAATAGGTTGTGTTTAAAAGGTTTCGCCAGCCCCAGTATCTGTGTAATATGGGGCCTGAATATTATTTTTCGTAGAGAGGGATCTCCAGGAATGTCGCTTCGTTCATCTGTTCAACTCTTGTCGAAGTTGATACTAATTTTCTAGAGATTGGCCTACTAGTCTGATCTGCTAGTTGTTATAAGTATCCTGCGAAAAGCTACTAACTGGTGGATCTAAAAAAAAAACGATTTGTCTTACCATTAATCCCATGTAATCAAAATTTGCCATTTTAGATACTAGTTGGACGTGCCAAACTCTATTAAACGCCTCTTTAGTATCCTTTGGTCAAGTTAAAATCTTTAGCACTCTTAGAACTTACAATATCGTTGAGTTCTCCTCTGGTCCTTGAATCGTTCCAAGATGACGCACTCCGTCACCCTACTCATCGCTGGGGTCAAGCTTATCGGCCGATGATGGACGGAGAACGTAGGGCTTGTTGTGTTCGGCGATCATGATGACCATATCCCCTTTGAAGGGATACGGGAAGTATTGCAGTTAGAGTGTGACGTTGATGATGTTCTTCCCCTTCCTGGGATCTGGTCCTGGCCTGGGGCTTTCCGGGTAGCGAAACTTGTGATGTTGTCTCTGACTTCTTCCATGGATGTGAGGTTTAGTGGCTGAACATTGTACTTTACTGTCGTCTGATTCTGCGCACCGCCTGTGTGACCTGTTGCTTGATGTTTTCCAGTTGGTAAGTAAAGGAAACATCATTCTCCCCACATTGTATTTCGAAAGAGTCGAAAATTACTTCGTCTTGAACGCTATAGACGACACTCTGTCCTTTGTCCTTTCCTCAATACTATCCGCATTTTTTCATGCAGATTGGTCTTCGGTGTTGAGTTCCTCGAGGCTGCTTTTGTGAAGCGTTCTGGTTAGTTGGTAAGATATTTATAGGAGATGTGATGTATCTCGGTCTGATTAACGGAAAACTCCTCGGGAGGATGTACAATGGGTCACATGTGGCCTAAGTGCGTGAGCTTACACTCACCCTCCCTACTCTACAGATACAGATACCATGTGTATTCAGACACAGAACAAGTCCAATAACGACACCCGAATTAAACCTAGCAATCAGTTAAAATATTCAAGTTGCCTAAATAATTCAGTATTCATTTGTGCATATTTGTTTTTCAAAAACTTTGTAATTGATGGACTAATAATAATAGGTCATTAATAATGATGAACAAATTCAATAAATTGAATAAGTTCTCTGTTCTCAAAACTACAGAAATATGAAACACTCTTTTAATAATTTTGAAAAAAATCGAAAAATTCATTCGACATTATCTATTACTGTAGTCACTTTGGAACTATGATTTTTGCTTTGATTTTCTAATCTCTCAAATATATTTTTACAACAGGAAAATATTGGTTTGAAAAACGTTTCTTCTTCATTTTTAGAGTGAAATCAAAGACAAGTTGACTCCTTTAGAAGCGGAAATAAGGTTTTTCATGTTGGACGACACATCTACAAATTATATACGAAACCCTCAGTCTCAACTGAAACCAGTATTGGATTTGAACAATCCCCCCTCGATGCACGATTCAATTGTCGTACAGAAAAATTGTGGAGCTGATAACATCTGCGTGCCAAATCTTCATGTCAACGTCACATCGTAAGATACTTTTGAATCTATACAACCCCTGTATCACTAAAAACCATTTTCGTTTTTAAGGAATGTGGAAAAATATCTCCTTGGTTCCAAGAGAAACTTAGAATTTGATGTTATTGTCTCCAATTTCGGCGAGGACGCATTCGAAACGACCTTTGAGTTGAAGTATCCAGAAGGAATATATTACAAGAAAATCGATACTAAGGCCAACGTACCTGGAATATTGTGTAGCAATGAAAATAGAACTATTATTTGCGATATTGGCAATCCTTTGCCAGCTGGACGGATTGTAAGTATCACTTTAATTTTTCTCAAAAAAATATCAATTCGTTCAATTACTATTTTGCCTTTTCAAAATATTTCCTCTCGAAGCAGTTCTGAGATGCCCTTTCTGGTATATCCTGCGGCTCCCTCAGCGATTCGGGTTTTATCTCCCCAATCTCATCAGTATTGGGAACAGGAAAAGTCGCAGAGGGCCAAATGTGGTGAAAACGGAGGCTGAGGCATGATTACCGTGGTGTTTTTTGCCAAACCATTACTAACAAACAATGACGAGTGAGCAGGTGCATTATCGTGATGCATGTATTGTTTTTCCACAATACCGGACGTTTTCTTCGTATTGCTTTCGCAAGCGGAGCATAACGTCATAACTATAGAGTCGACGAAGGCCGTTTTTGCCTCATCCTGAAAATTATCGAAGTGCTTGCAAAAATGGTAGTCGGTTGGCAAGAGGTCTGGAGAGTGTAGTGGGTGAAGCAAGACTTAGACGTATTAGGTCACAACAGAATTGAAAGGTCCGCTAGCGTTCAGTTTTCAGGTTCACAAATACATGAATCCCTTTCGTGAAATATCCAGATTGATGTCATTCGAAAAAAGCTAGCTTCAGTCATTGGGATTCTTTCTATACATTGTCATCCCCAAAGTATGCACCATATGGGAAACTTATTTATTAGGAGTTTTTCGACAAAAAGTTATTCCTGATAAAAGTTTGTCCATCTCCTAAAACTATAAATGTACCAACAAAATACAGTAAAACACACGTAATATACGAGGAGCCTTCAAATATTTGATTTTGAGACAGGAGTACTTTCAGTAAAGTACTCTTATTTTGAAAAAACTCGGGAAATATCATTTAGAAAAGTTGTTCAGCAATAAAAAATACATCTAGATGAAGTCATTGCCATCTAAGTGAAGTTTTATTTTATACCCATTTTTTTTAATGGGGAGGCGTCACCACTGGTGATAGTTATCTTCCGATAGTCCGAGTCTCTGCATATGATGATTCAAATGACAGTGACTTGTAAGAAGGCCTGTAGTTCATTCCTACTGTAGTTCAACAACTGATTGGTATCAAGCTTCGAAGGGTGAATAAACGCCTTGGAGTGAACCAATCCTGGAAGATTCTGCAAGAAATCCATAAATCTTCTTGCCATTCAGGTGTTCAATTTTTGTTTGGCAAAGCCTGAAGCGATGCCAACGATACGTTCTGGTCCGATGAAGCTGCTTGCAGCACCTTCCTTTGCAGCTTCATTGCCATGGCCAGGAATACAGACCAGAGATAATATGTTAAGTCTTCCTATCGCAATTTGCTACCAATTTAGACGTCATTGGCATTGACGGCATTGGAGCCAAGAGCTTCCAATGCCGCTTGACTGTCCGAAAATATTTTTATTGACTAGTGTATGAGGTTGGATTCCTTCAATCTCTCCTTCACATAATTCGTTAGATTGAATTTCCGCTTGAACTAGAGTCGCATAGGTTCATAGGCAAGTAGATAACTCTGTCCTGGGTCTGAGACTGAAAACACCTGCACCGGAACCGGGAGGTGTTTGTGAACCAACAACTAATCGCTCTCAATATTCCCTTCTCCCGGAGAATCCAGTCCTCTCTACTCGGGTCTATTCGAAATGACAAAATTATCTTTGTCCAAAATTATAAAACAGTGAGAATGATGATCTTTGAACATGTTGTATAATATTAAGAAACGGGTTTTATCAAAATCAGTAGCAAAAAACTTCTTTTATGCTTGGTCAGAATTCGAAAGAGTGATTTCTATACATTTTTATGTTATTTACTTTCCAATTATAATAAATTGATGTAGCCGTTACTACGTGGTAGGATATCATCATGAAAAATGAGGAATAAAACTTTCTATGTTTTTTCACCACTTTTTGTAACTATAAGGACGTGTATAGGACGAAACTGCAGTAACAACATTAGTTACGAATATAGTTATAGTTAGGTACATGGTACCTTCTATGAAATCATATTTTTTTTCTGACCTATTCAAAAGTGTAACACTATACAGGGATTTCATTTGAAAAAACACAACTTTGATATGCCACACTTTTTTGAGCCACCCTGAACAAAACAATTTTCTTCTGCAACCTTAATCAATATACATATAATGAAATGAGGAAATACCCAAACCTACCGAAAAGCTTTGAGTCTGATTGAGATACATTGGCGACACCTCCATAGTGTGGAACTAGGGAGATACGGAACCGAACACTTTTTTCAAAACCTCAATGGCGTATGACGCCATAAACAATGTTGAAAAAACCCACCATAACTTACTATTTCTAGACGTAATGGTGAAGAGGACCGACAACAATTAGGAAATATTTGTAAACGGGGAAGCAACTCGCATGGGATATTATCTAAATTCAAGAACCATCAATCTACCACTCGATCCAATTGATCAACATTAGGTCTCACTAACATTAAGGGAGGAAGTCTTGGCAAAAAATTGAGCCTCATCAGAAAAGATCTTTAACAGAATAGTGAATCACAAGAAGCTGGTAGAAGACAACAGGGGCCCTACATAGAAGAAAAGCTATTCCAATCAGTTCTAAAGTAGCACTCTAACAAAAATCAAGCCACCAAACTCAGACAATGACTAGTAGAACACCTTTTAATGAACACCAAGTGATTCCAGCAAGTAACTATTTCATTTGAGAGTACAATAAAAACATCCAACAAGGAAAATCAGCAAATAGCACATAATGGAACATGTTTGAACTCACCAATGTAAACCCGAAACAAATACTTCTCCCAAATACCGGAATTGCCTTCTCGACGTGTGTTCCACCAATCAAGTTGGGGTCTTCAGTACATGAACTAGACTGCATTCCCTGAAGTGTTGCAGTTCTAGTGTTTGCGGGACGTGCTTCTTTTAGACATATTTTACACAAGAGGTTCCACTTCTACTTTTCATCACCAACATATCATCAGGTTCAATTCAATGCTACAAAAGCCAGGCATCGGTTTTCTCCAAATAGATAAATTTATCCGAACCGGATATAATAATGTCAGGTCACACAATTCTACTTTCTGCTTCGATAAGTTTGTTGAGGATTAAAATGCACACCAATATGTCTTGGCACTATCATGTATCTGGAATTGCAAATCCGCTTCTCAGAAGCTTGAAACACTGTTCCGAACCAGTAAACTGTACACACCACAACAACTTTTGATCCTTTATAAAGCTCAGATCAAATCTTCTTCGGAGTATCATTCTCATGTATGGAGCTCCGCCCTTATTCATTTTCTGAAGCTGCTGGATTTCATCCAGAAAAGAGCCATACGCCTCATTGGAGATACGAACATCACTTGAAACCTTGATGGTCTGTAACATCGAAGAAAGATTGGAGATTTGTCTCTGTTCTATAAATACATTCACGGGAAGTGTTCAAGTGATTTCAAAAACTACACCTCACGATTTGAACTCCACAAAAGTTTGTAGAGACCAAATCCTGAGGTGTAGTTTTCGAAATTACTATGGATCTTCATCAAGTAACGGCCGAATCAATCAGAAAAAAAAATGTGTTCAAGTGACTTGTTACATTTGATTCCACCAAAAGCGGTACATATCTCTTTCTCATAGGCACCGCTCCTAGAGCGCCTTAAGGATTTTCCTGTAGTGCTTGTTTTTTGTCATTTAAAAAAAGTGGTTGGAAAATGAAATCATCCACAGGAAGAAGACCAAAATTTGATTTCAAGACATGACATTAATTTTTTGGGAAAGAAAGTTTTTGGCTTTCTACTACTCCATCTGATACAAAAAAATGGATGAGAGAATCTTCCAAAGAAAGGAAGGAAGTAATCAATTTGAAAATAAGTAACTCTATACATGGATGTGTAGATAATGCAAAGAAGTAACTTTCAGACACAAAAAGGTTTCGCCAGCCCCAGTATCTGTGTAATATGGGGCCTGAATATTATTTTTCGTAGAGAGGGATCTCCAGGAATGTCGCTTCGTTCATCTGTTCAACTCTTGTCGAAGTTGATACTAATTTTCTAGAGATTGGCCTACTAGTCTGATCTGCTAGTTGTTATAAGTATCCTGCGAAAAGCTACTAACTGGTGGATCTAAAAAAAAAACGATTTGTCTTACCATTAATCCCATGTAATCAAAATTTGCCATTTTAGATACTAGTTGGACGTGCCAAACTCTATTAAACGCCTCTTTAGTATCCTTTGGTCAAGTTAAAATCTTTAGCACTCTTAGAACTTACAATATCGTTGAGTTCTCCTCTGGTCCTTGAATCGTTCCAAGATGACGCACTCCGTCACCCTACTCATCGCTGGGGTCAAGCTTATCGGCCGATGATGGACGGAGAACGTAGGGCTTGTTGTGTTCGGCGATCATGATGACCATATCCCCTTTGAAGGGATACGGGAAGTATTGCAGTTAGAGTGTGACGTTGATGATGTTCTTCCCCTTCCTGGGATCTGGTCCTGGCCTGGGGCTTTCCGGGTAGCGAAACTTGTGATGTTGTCTCTGACTTCTTCCATGGATGTGAGGTTTAGTGGCTGAACATTGTACTTTACTGTCGTCTGATTCTGCGCACCGCCTGTGTGACCTGTTGCTTGATGTTTTCCAGTTGGTAAGTAAAGGAAACATCATTCTCCCCACATTGTATTTCGAAAGAGTCGAAAATTACTTCGTCTTGAACGCTATAGACGACACTCTGTCCTTTGTCCTTTCCTCAATACTATCCGCATTTTTTCATGCAGATTGGTCTTCGGTGTTGAGTTCCTCGAGGCTGCTTTTGTGAAGCGTTCTGGTTAGTTGGTAAGATATTTATAGGAGATGTGATGTATCTCGGTCTGATTAACGGAGAAACAGATTTTTTTCTAAACAGATTGAAGGCACACTGATTTCTGTTATGGGATGGCGTGTTTGCATGTGCTTTGGTTTTAGATGAGATAGTTTTCCATCTTCTTGATTCGATTGCCTCTCTCATCTATCTATTTTTATGGGTTGGTTTTGCTGAATTGTATCGA